AGGTATAGCTTGTTAAAGACGCCAAATTAACCAGTAGTCATCGTCCCAGTCCATGTTGCACCTATCAGCAGTACCTCTCGGCACTTGTGCTACCACATACCTTCGCTGAGCTCACTTATGCTTTCAGAAACCCAGGTGAATCCGGTCAGTCCACGGCCCGACTTTCAGTCCCGTGGACGCGACAACTATAAGCGCCTGTAGTTTGTTAGAAAATGGCACATACAGCAAGCTGTCTCATGGTTATTACGGAGTGTCAGTACTTTTCCACCAAGGACTCGAGTTTCCGGCATTAGGATCCCAAACTTGTGCCTTGGGTTTCACGAGACATAGGCTGCACGAAAAAGGGTATGTTTAGTGATTAGCAGAAGTTACCAGGTGATTGCGTTTGCCTTCCGTGTATCAAAGTACTCATTGCGACTACCTGCTTCGGCTAGCGCCAAGATAGGTTTGGAGGAGTCCGCAGTCACCGAGATCGTAAACCAAGGGGGCTCATACGCTGCGATCACCCAGTGCGCCTTCAGTAATAACCGTCTAAGTGATGTTCTGTCGTTGCATGTCGACGACAATCGGGTAAAGTGTACTCTCGAAGTTCGAATTTAAAATCATACCTTGATCATCAAGGGTAAACAGTAATTCACCGAACTGATGACGCGGATGAGCTCTAGACCAGGTAGCAGACTACGTGACTGAACCAGTTGAGACAGCGGTCTTTTACTGCATCACCAACAGGCGTCTCTGAGTGGTGGCGGGCCTTCACGTTCAAATGTACCCCATAAGCATTATTTGCTCAAAACTCTGACCCTCCACTTTGACCCAACAGCACATCGAGGCCACGTTTCGCAGTCATCGGTCTGGATGGCTGCGTATTCTGAACATTATTTTCTGCTGAGCCTAAAGATGAGGCCATAAGAACTATTAGTCAAGAAGATACACCAGAAGCAAGTCGCATGTGGCAGTTTCTATGGGAGGGATTACAGACTTCGCCGTCATCCTATCCCCCCAAAAAATGCCCTTTGTGATCTTAGTAATTCCATTGCATAATCTTGACCATTGTCAGTAAGTAAAGAACCGCAGGGCTGGGCAAACTCCTTCGATGTTTGACCTGGAACCTAAGCTACAAAGAAAATAAGCCACAGTTCGACAGTCACTTCCGACGATTTCCACAGTGTGCCCCACAGCAGGATGGATGTGAAGACGGTGACTTGAGGGTGAATTAGTTCATAGTGATAGTAGAATTTAGTAGCATTTACCGCACTGTCTCATCCCTCACACACTCGGGCTCGATGTCTGGAAGACCGGAGGTGGAATCGGGCGCAGGTGACTGGCACAGCGTGAGACCGCACCTAGGCGTGCCACCCCCATACGTATGGCATTGTTATGGATGCGCATTCCCAGTAACGCCTGCAATACCCTAGTCTGGCCCCGTGTTGATCTAGCGCGCTTAGCGGGTTACCGGGCGACAGTGAAAACCAGCGGCCACATAGCGACCAACGTACAGTCTTCAGGGAGTGGATGTGCAGACATATGAGGCGGCAGATACTAATCAAACAAAAAGGCACGCATGTTTGGAACCGCGTGCCCTAACTAAGATAGTTAAACGCACATTTACTTTGCCAAATTGTTAAAGACAATCGAGGTTAGTTCTCGTCTTGGTGTTTATCAGTGAACGTCAATTGGCTTCCCGAGTTGACAGTAGAATTTGTGCCTCCCAGTTGTTAAGCTTGATAGTACCGATGGCAACCTGCATAACTGGTTGGAGGCAAAGTTACAAGCACTAGCAAGAGAATTGAATTGGATAAATTTGACGGTTCGCCGGGAAGAACAATGGCAGCTGCTGCATCATCTGCCAGTTGCATACTGCCAATGTAAAAAAAAGTTCAACAGTTTTCTAATCTCAAGCGTTCTACTCCTACTTCAGTTAACTCCTCCTCTCCCCTTTTCAGGGGCTGTCGTATCTGTCCGCGTGTCAGGCATCAAACAGATGTTACTAATGCTGACAACAGCTGAAACTTACCAAATTCATCGACTGGGACATCACCCTCCTTGTCAACAGTCTGGGTGTTGGATGAATGTTGTCCAGCGCGACGTATCTGCCGTTTTCTTTGTCCAGCAAGCATTTCGCCGTAGTAACTAAGCATCCTCTGACGTTTCTGGGCCTGGTGTACTTCAGTCTGAAAGAGAGTGAGAGAGAGGGGAAGAAAGAACACAAGGCACCGTGAAAATCGGGACAATGTTTGTTACTGATGTGCATACACAGTAGAACGGTTGTCCATCTCGACCATACTTTTAAAAGGGATCACAAGGGGACACCTCCAGGACGCCAAACAGTACTCATCGAGTACCGGTCCAAAACTTAACGGTAATCGGTTATGGCTAGAAGCCCAGTACAGGAACCCCGGC